CTGACCAATCAGAACGTCGCTAACGTTACGCGAATGTCCCACAAACTCACGTATGTCCCACAAACGCTCATGTTTTTACGTTTGTTTATGCCATATTTTTACTTTGATATTTGAATTACTTAGTTTGTATGGATATAAATTATTAGCTATGAAAATTAGAGCAAATGTTTTCTCGCCACAAACGCAATAACAACTCCGTTCATATTATTCTTTGTACTGTATATACCTATAAATTGGCTGTTGTTCAGAACAATTTTTTTAAAAGTGAAAACAAAATCCTCTAAATCAACCAACACTGAAATGTTTCTGTATGTAAGTCCTATTGAAATCTAATGACTGATTTGATATTTTAAAATAAAACCCTTTCCAGCTTATCGAATTTTATTTGACAAAAACATGTAACATACCTTTAATATGGCCATGATAACATCACATCATGACCATATATAGGCACATCATGACTATATATGGGTATACAGTTTTTGTCAAAGAAATTTGATAGTACGTGTGGACGAAATTTAAGAAACCTATATTTTCTATTTGATTCTTCATTAACTTTTTGCTATTGTTTACCTGTGTTTCGAGTGAGGTTGATGAAGGCGTCTATACCATTCTCGCCATACTCGCCGGCCTCTGCCACCGTCGAGACGTACGTCCATCCCATGAACTTAATGATATCAAACATGGCCTGGCTCTGAAATGTGTCCGGGGGCACAACTCGTAAGAAGTAATCGAACCGCATTTTATCGCTTAACTCGGGGCTTGTAGACGCATAGCTAATCTGAGGAATCTAGGGAAAAAGAATGAATTCGCTCTCAATTTCTGATAGCATGTTAAAAAAATGACCTGATAAATTTTAACTTAGAGACTCAGTATATGCAATAAAAGATGGAACACAAGCGATCAAAAAATTGCAGATTGCCAGACGATCGATATCGTAAGCAGTTTGCATCGAGTAAGTGCAGTGTGTCCAATTCGATCTTTTACTGTAGATAGTTTACATTCACTCAAATATATATATATATATATATATATATATATATATATATATAGTGTGTGTGTGTGTGTGTTTGTGTGTAATAATAGAGATCTCGACTTTATAAGTCGTTATCTTTTCACTAATTGCATCGTATATTTAGACTACCAATTGTCATTATGACAATTACAGTACTTCATTCACTCAGACGTTTATATGTCTGACATTTTGTTTATTTCACTCTGTTGTTAGTTATAGGCCTTATTACCTGCCATCAACCGTAGCCATTAAACTGTTTAACAAAGACCGTAACACCTTAATTTTGTCAGTGCTTAAACATTATTGTTGTTGTTGATGATGATGTTTCAGCAATGACGAAGTCTTCAGGATCAAGACGAAATATTTTCAACATAAAGAAAGCATGCAACGTGGATGTTTGGTAAACAGATTCATTTATTATTTAAGATGATAATTCTGTGAAATGTGTCCTTCGACAAGATATGATACAAACAGCAACAATAAAGAGAACCATCGTCTTTAATTGTATTTAACTCTACAATTCATTATGCTATAATTTACATTGCAGCCCTAAGTTCAATATGAATAGAGGATGAACAGAATTGTTAAACAAACTAACCAGCAGAATATTTAAATCTTTTGAGGAATAATTGTATATATTAGGCCTAAGTATTTTCGTAGGCTAAATAGACATTTACTCGTAAAATAAATCCACCTATCGGCTTTTGGTTGCGATCAATGCTAATAAGCATTTCTTTTTGTATCTTGCGCTTTATAAACTTAAAACCATTACCATTATTCGTAATATCTATTCATTTATCGTCTTGTTTTCGATCAATATTATATATGAAATCAAAATAAGAAAGCAAAAAAAGGACTTGAACATAAGATGTTATACCACTGAAGAAGGGAAGGTGATTATAAAGCCGTGCAACTCACTGCCCACGACGGTCGTCGCCCGACGCGTTTGTAGTATGGAGAACGCAACGCCACGACGCGCGCGCAAATGATCGTTTTTTGATGAGTTCCGTTCAGACTGCCACCTATAATCAGCAGTCGAATTCGTCGTACGACGCAGTGTGCACCCGGATTAAGGGATTCTCAATACTCTGTTATGTATTTTGAGGCTTTTGGCTGCATTGAAGCAGATACTGACATGCTTTGTCAAAACTGAACCTGAACCGAAGATCCTAGAATGTTAAAACAGAGCATCACCATGTCAAAAGTCACGCTGATGCTAACGACAATGACAGTTGCCCATGCTTTTAAGTTATACGATATATCTCTCAGATTAATATAAAAGTTTATATATATATATTTTTTTTTTTCTAGCCGTACCTATTGTGTAACAGAATGTATCTGGCTGTATTTGAATCTGATTAGCCATGAAGCCACTGTGGTCTAATGGTTATGACGCTCGCCTAGACAGCGAGAGGTCGCAGGTTCGAATTCCGTCTGAAGAATTTTATTACACAATTTATTTATTTATTTATATGAGCTATATAT